CAGGCCTGGCAGCCATGGAGCTGCCACAGGCACTGTGGCCAGACTCTACCCCTTTAAGGGCTCCAGGGCTGGGGGAGAGGAGAGTAAGTTTTCCTGGCTGTGCCCAGAGAGGCCACCAGTGCTCCCTGGGAAGGGCTGGAGGCCTCCTATTTCGAATTAAGTGTCTACACAGCACTTAATTCAAAATAGCTATTTCGAATTTGGCATTATTCCTCATAGAATGAGGTTTACCAAATTTGAATTAAGCGCTCCACTATTACAAATTAATTCGAAGGCACGGCTGTGCTTTCGAATTAACTTTGCAGTTTAGACATACCCACAGTGCTTCTGGAGATAGGTGATGTGAGGCACAGAGAGGCTGACAGAGTCACACGGTGAATTAGCAAAAAAGGTGAGAGTAGCGCTTGGAAATCTTGAATTGAAGCCCCAAGCTCAAACCACCAGATTCAGCTTTGTTGGTGACAGAGATTTTTAGCCATTACCAGTGGTCAAAGTATCCTCTGCTTGATTCATGTGTGCAGGGTCCTTCCTACCCACATCCTCCCCTTCTGTAGGCAAAAGGGGACCATTCTCTTTTGCGACAGTGTCCCACATCTCAGAACCTCTGAGAATCTCTCAGCACAGTCTGTATTGAAGAAGAGGGATATAAATGGATAGGCCAAAGAGGGTGGGCATGGGTGCTTACTGCAGGCCTGCACAACATATGGCCCGTGGGCCACATGCGGCCTGCAGGGGCTCACTGTGCGGCCCGTGACAACTACGGGCGATGCAGCCCCATCCGATCCGCCGGCCGGGCAGAGGAGCGGAGCGCCACTGGGGAGGAGGAAGTGCAGCGATTCTGTTTACCTTAGCTCTGGTGCGAGGAGGCAGGGCGCAAGCCAGAGTGCAGGACGCCGGCAGACGTCAGGATGCTGGCGTGACGTGGTGTCGTGATGTCATGGCTGGCGACCCCCTGGATTCAAACAGGCTCCAGCAGCCCCGCAAACTGGAAGGCAGAAGCCAGGTAGGGGATGGGAAGGGGCTTGTGCTGAGGGAAGGAGGGCAGGTCAGGAGAAAGGGGAAGACTCGAAGGGGCAGGGTTCAGGAGAGATCAATGCCAGGGGGCCAAATGGAGACAATGAGCAAAAGGGCAGGAGGGGAGGTGTCAGTGGGAGGGGGACAGGGTGATGCTGGGAGAGGAGAGGGTAAGGGCATTGGGAGCCGTATGTTGTGCAGGCCTGATTTAATGGAAAAATTCTTAATAAAGTATCACCCCCCCAAAACCTACCCTTGCAGCCTGCAGCTGTTTTCTTTGGAGTAATATGGCCCTCGCCGCTTTCTGAGTTGTGCAGGCCTGGCTTACTGTCACTCCTGGAGTCCCATATTTACCTGGAAAAGTGAATTTACAGGGCTGCTGTGGTCATGTGGGTGTATCTCTTGGCATGGATCTGTAGAACCAGGCTCCCCACGGAGTTGGGGGAATGAAGACTACATTGTTAATTTTGGTTGGATGTATTCAGGGAAGTTTCATCACATGGCTAAATCTTTCATTCCTGGTGATTCCAAGACAAACCTGGAGCACTAGCAACACTGAAGACTCGAGGTGAGAACCAGCGTGGAGACTTTTTTTTTAGAAACAAACAAAAACAAACAAAAAATGCTACTGCAAACCCCATAAAAATTAGCGGGGAACTCAAGGGAAGATGTACCATATGAAAGTGCTTTTAACTTATTTGTTAATATTGACTAGATTTCCACTTGACAGTGCCCCGTAAGAGTGCAAGCACAGAAATGTATTCTGGTTAGGTGGGATTTACATAAATTGCAATGGACGAAATTCAAATAAAGGCTTTTTATTCCTGCAGAGGACAGGTTCCATAGACCTTGATGCAGCAAAGCACTCACATATGTGCTTGACTGTGAATATGTGAACAGTCCCATTGATTTCCCTCATTTCCTAGAGGAAGACTTACTGTAGCTTGTGCTCAGGAACTCACAGGACTGGGCTCTTGGTCAATAGTCATAATAAAACTGAATCTTCGGTCACTGTAGCCCATAAAAGACAGACTTGTTACATATCAACTTTATAACCATGGGTAGCCACATCTGTGGAGGTGGATATCTGCGGCTCATTTTTGCGGATGAGTATACACATTTTGTACATCAAACCCTGCAAACTTTATACATGCGGGTAGCAGATGCAGATGTCTGCAAATCATTTTTGCAGATGCAGTTGTGGATACCAATTTTGTATCCACGCACGTGGTACTTAGTGAGACTTTCCAAAAGTAACTCCTTTCAATGGGAGTTACACAGCTAGGCCCTTTTGAAAATCCCAGCCAGAACTTGACTGCCTTCTTGGATACCTAAATACCTTTTAAAAGCTGTCCTTTACACACCCTCAGTTCCCTATTTGTAAATTTGGGACAATAATAATACTGCCAAGGATATTGTGGTGACAATTTACACATTTGAGGTGCTCAGATACAATGGGAATGGGGGGAGGGGGAATAGCTAAGTACTTCAGACAGAAAACAAAGTTACAATTTGTTGACAAGTTAATTATTTCTACTCTAGAATAATGATAGTATAGAAATTCCTATTCTTGAATAACATAGTTATACTTTATTCCTTCAGTCATATTGTACTGTCAGGCTGTGTCCAGACTCAGGGGTTTTTTCGAAAAAAGTAGCCTTTTTTCGAAAAAACTTCACCTGCGTCTAGACTGCAGCCGCGTTCTTTCGAAATTAAATCGAAAGAACGCGGCTTTTCTTTTGACGGTGGTAAACCTAATTCCACGAGGAAGAACGCCTTCTTTTGAAAGTGCTCTTTCGAAAGAAGGCGTTCTTGAAAGCAAACAGGCTTTTTAGAAAGAGAGCATCCAGACTCACTGGGTGCTTTCTTTCGAAAAAGCGGCTTGCTTTTTCAAAATTCCGCGTGCAGTCTAGACGCTCTCTTTCAAAAGAGGCTCTTTCAAAAGTATCTTTCGAAAGAGCCTCTTTCGAAAGAGGCTTGCAGTCTAGACATAGCCTCAGTATTTAATCAGCAGTCCTATTGAAATCAACTCAAAGCCAAACATGGCCCCGAATTTGGAACAAGACTATATCACTCCATCGTATTTTTCTAAGAGATTGACTCTTAACTAGGATTCCAAGTCAGACAGGGTTTTTGGTGGTACTCCAAAGATCAGGCCCACCAATGGAGGAAGGAAGGTGGGGGCAGGTTGGAATGTGAACGTGTAGCCAGTTAATCCTTACTGGATGATGCTTACAGGGTAATGGTTAACTGGTTCCCAGAGAGCAGCTCCCTGACCAATGGGCCCCTGTGCAAGGTCACCAGCCAGGAGGAGATCTGCAGGCTGGGGACTGCACGAGCCTGGTTGGAGCAGTCCCCCTCCCAGAATCCCACTTAGTCAGTTAACCAGTTAAATGTTAGATTAAACATTAAAATGAGGAGTAACATTAGTTCGGACTAAGGGCTTTACTTCCTGGTTCAAATCAGCTGTGATTCGAACTAGCGCGCCGGCGAGATCATGTTAATGAAGCACGGGATATTTAAATCCCCGCTTCATTAACTACTTCGGTCATCTCCATTTGCACCCGTAGTCCGAACTAGGGATGCAGTGTAGACATACCCTAACTGATTAATTGGGATATCGGGATTTTACATCCCTAGTGGAAGATAAAGGGGGCAGTTGTTCCTGGCCCATTAAATGCTGGGCAGTGCTCTCTGGGTAGTTCTGAGGCCTGCCTGGAGTGGGGACATGCTCTGGGCTTGCTGCCGCCAGCCTCACCCCATCCACCCAAAGCCCAGCCCCCCTGCCAAGCATGAAGCCTAACACTGTCCATGTTATATATAATACCAGCTTTATGTAGGAGAAGAAAAAATGTGTCCAATAGAAATATACATTTTGAGAAAAGGCCTTTTTGATTTTTGTTGTATGGAGCTACATATGCGAAGTAATGGTACATTTTAATAAACTGGATAATTCTTTTTTGGGGATGGAACATTATGATAAATTGTTATGGACATTACTGGAATCCATAAAATATAGGGATTTATCTTGTAGTTATTACCCTGGCAAAATAAATATTGACAACAAGAGAAGCTTGGCATCTGTAAGGATGTAAGAATCAGGCTCTTAAAGTAGATGAGAAGAACAGAAGAACTAAAATAGACTCTGATACCAAAGCTTTCATATTCACCAAGAAAATGTCACTGGTGGAGTATATAGATCTTTGATTAACTGATAGTTGTAGGTATTTCTCATTTAGGTCTGGGACATTCTAGGTATACAAAGTCTAGTTTAGGGCCTATTTATGTGACCCATCCTCTTGTTCACCTGAGTAATCCAAATTACTTTTGTAGGACTACTCATGTCCGTAAGCATTGACTAGTGTGAGTAAGGACACCTCATCAGACCTTTTAAGTATATTTTTTTAATGGCTCAAAAATGTGCAGCCAGAGCACAGTGCAAGTAGTGTTTCAGCATCAAGTTTCCCTGCAGGTGCTCACTGGTAAGTTAAACAAAAATACAGATGAAATCTATGCAGTCTTCAGGAAATTAATTTTATAGTTCCCTGTTAAGATACACATATTATTACTTTATTTAGATTACAGAATAACATTTTTTAAGATTACTCAGCGAACCAGCAGTATTTTAAAATACACAATATATCATTCTTAGCCTTAATTACATATTCAAAAGCATGCAGGGTGCATCATGGTAATGAAGACAGAAAACTATTTTCCATTAATAGAATGTTAATGAAGAAAAATCAGAACAATTTAGTTCTAAACTTCAACCTTAGTTAAGCTTGTTCACAAGATTTAAGGCAATCATATCTGTATGTTCTTTTTACATGCACAAAGTTAGTCTTCACACTGTAGCGCAAGAATGAAAATGGATAGTTGTATCTGGGCGGTTTAGCTTCACTCAGCTTCCTGTCCTTGTACCCTTCCGGAGCTGCAGTGTGTTACTTGGCATATTTCTTAAAGGTAAACTAGTAACTGGCTCCCATTAACACTGTTTATCAGAGAGGAGAGTAAAATTCTTCATCTAATTCACTGCAGATTCCATAAGATGAACTGCAAATACAATTGCTTTTCTCTGCTATAAAGCAAATGGAAAATATACAAATTTGCATCAGTTACTATTGAGATGTTTACAACCTACACCTTCCCAATTATACATATGCAATACCTCAGTATGTCTTTACCCACAAAGCACTGGAATACAGGTTAGAGATGATTGGTGTAATTTAATATATAGGCATACATTACATCTTCAAGCCTAGACATATCACAGGAGCGTCTTTAAATATATATAAATTTCTATTAGAGTTTTTTAATTGCCTGTTCCACTCTTCTCTACCGATGGCTCAAACGTGCAGGAGGGAGGATGGTCTTTGACAACAGACACACAAGATATTTATAACAACAAGATATTTTCGCTCTGCATTTTGTTTTAGCATGTGGAGAGAATAGTAATTGTACTCAGACTTGAAATGGCGTGGGTTACGCAGTTCAGAGCACAAGCACCTGCAGCAAATTAATTTGTTGTAGCACATTAATTATCTCATAGCTTCTATTTAGGCTGCAGCTGTTGCTATTATGTTAATATTTTTATAACCACTACACACAACAGGTTACGGTACTATTAGAAAATTCTTGGGGTAGGGTGGGGGGGTGTATTTTTTTGAGCAAAATGGGGAACAAAATTAAACACGCAAGCATTCATCAGGCATTTAGCATTCTATTTATTAACTGATTTGAAAGAGAATGGGTAACTGAAATTAGAAAAGAATAACAATAGACAAAGATGGCGCGTGCAGAATTTGTGAAAGCAAAAAAGAAGAAGAGGGAGGGAAAAAAAGAGAGAAAGAAACACCGAACACCGCAGTGCTGGGTGGTGAGAATTCGGATGGGGGTGGGGAAAATGCTGCAGTTTTCATGAAATAATAAGGTGGAAAAAAAGGCATACAAAGAGTAGGTTTTTCATTGTCTGTAAAATATAAACACAGATGAATTCTGTCTTTGGTTTGTTCATGCTTTTCACTCTGCACAGCAGGGATGTTCTTAAGAAGTTGCCCTCTGCGAAATTTCACTAAATGGAAACCGTGGACCCTGCATGATGTGATTATAATCACACCAGCCATTCTTTTTACATAATTTTTTGTTTAAAATCCAGTAATGCTTCTTGTTTTTAAAATCTATATCTATATGTGTATCTAAAACTGTGCTGTTTTACGTCTCGACAGCAAAGTGCGAACTGAAGGTATAACTGGCTCTATCCCATCTACAAGTCTCAATGGCTCAAAAACAATATGAAAATTTTTAGCTGACAAGAACATGTCTGCTGCCTGCAGTCACTGCAATAGCTCACCATGTTGCCTACTAACCAAAAGATCAAAAATTATCGATTTCATGGCGCTGCGTGCTTAGGATAGGAAAGCTACTTTAAAATTTGCATTATTTAAGAAATGAATTGAGAGAAAAGACTCATGTTTTAAAACACTTTAGAATGTAAAAATGGGTTTATGTTTTAATCTTATCAATGATTTACTATAATTCTATTATTTTTGGCAGCTGGGGTCTGGAAATGATTTTTTTCCGATGAATTTAGGATTTTGCCGCAGTATACATCTGCAGTCCCAGAATCCTCTGGTAAGATAATCCCTCTTGCGATGGGGAAACGCCTTTAACCTTTTCGTGAATGAAAAATCTGCAACCATTTTGAAATAAAAAGAAGGAAAGAATGATCATTTCTAAGAGCTGGAATGATATTTACTCTGCATTAAAAGAACACTGAAAGGAAAACATACTGTAAGCGCTTCGTGTCATTTCAGTATCTAGCTATTGTCTCCATTACTCATATTCTTTCAATGATGACCGTAAATACTTCTAGAGCATGGTGATGATAACCATATTCCATACTGCAAAAAATTCAGAACCAAGAACTAAGATATATACTGTTTCTTTTGTATAATTACAAGCCTGCCATGAATTACTACAACTACGCTGCATACCCAAATGAAAGTTTTCAGAGCAACTCCCATTGAATTTGCCCAGTGGAATCTTTCTTACTTGCTTGTGTGAGAGTAGCCAACTTTCTAGATTGACAAGAGGTATTTACAACTACTTAGCCTTTGCAGCTGGAAAGAAATCAAAAGATTAATTGAGCTATAAGATGTACTGCAAAACTGAACAGCTAGTCCAAAAATAGCCTATTTGTAGGTCTGTTAAATGCAACTCTTATCTGGATGTCTAATATTTTCAGATTACATATTAATTAGGAAAGGTCACTCTAAATAGGAAAATCTGTCCTAATCACAAAAAACAGGCCTGAAATGGAACGTTTTTTAAAAAACACCAATTCAGTGTTTAGTGTTTTTGGTTCAGATCACATATAGCATTCGTCTTTCTACAGTACTGACATTTAAAGGGTTACCCAGATGAAAAATAAATGGCTTCTTGTGGATGGAGCTGTGTGGGAGAGAGGAGGTAGGTAGTGCACCTTTGCGTCTATTGTTTTAGTTTGTGCTAGTTTTTCTGCAAGGCTGGCTGAACACAGCAATCACTCACACATTCCTTTAAACTAGGAAGGCCAGGTACATAGTCAGTAAGTCAGACAGTGTGTGTGTGTGTGTGTGTGTATATATATATATATTTTTTTTAAATGAAAACTTATATTCAGTATCCCATAGATCCTGACAAAATTAAAAAAGAGAACAGAATTGTGGATTTCTGTTGGCCTTGATCATTATTATCAATGATTAATATTATAAAAGCAAAGTAATTTGTTTATTAATTTGGTTAGTAGTTAAGATGTATGTATTTGGTAATGGCAAAGCTTCCATTTTTGTTTGTTCAGTTTTACTGTATCTACTGCTTAATATGCCAATAATCAGGTATTGTGATGAGTTAATGTCTCTGCTGCTAAATCAGTAAAAGACTTTTTCAGTTTCTAAAACATATCTGAAAAATAAAGTTAAACTGCTGCTGGCTTTCACACAAATTAAGGTGGATAACAGAGATGATGCATGTCTCAAGAAGAAAAAACAAAAATGAAATAATAGGCTTTTTGATTAAACAAACTGTGTTGGTCACTAATGATTATTTGTGGTCACTAATAACAATTTCTAATATTTGGAACAACACTTACAGAATGTTCTATTTTATGTAATTTCAATTAGCTGACCAGCTGTTTTGACATACATTTTCAATTAATTTATTAATGTTTTACTGTCTGTCTTCATTTCAAGAAGATGGTGTACAACCAAGATACGTGCAACATTTTGTATCTCATTATTTTATGAGAAAAGCAAACCTGATCAATATCTGAAACTTGGCTAATTCTTTCTTTTTTTAAGTATCTGCTAACAGATAGCACTTTGCTTCACTACATCAAAGTTTCTGACTTGTATTAATAAAATATATTTCCCAACTATGCAATAAGCATTACATTACTTAATTATGTCTCAGGTACAATATTTGAACACTACAAGCATTTTTCTGCCATACCACATGTTTCATCAAAAGTGCAAAACTGTTTTTATACACTGCACATTTAATTTCAGTGGAAGAATTTTGTTAAATGGCCAACGTGCAGGATTGTGGTGTTGCTAAATTGTTATTTTTTTAGTTTAGCATTTTAACAATATTATAACTTAGTCTGTAATCTGTACAAAAAATGTGCATGGTTAGAAATCAATTACTTTTTAACATGGGAAATCAAAGATTTGGGCCCTATTACTTAAATATATCTTTAATTGTTCATTCTGCTTTGAGTACATATAAATACCATTGCAACTTTTCCTTTACTATGTGTTTTAAGACATAGCTATATTCCAATTGCCTTAGCAAGAAAGGTGACCAACGAAATTTACCTTTATCCGTTTTTTTTTCTGTTTGAGCTGCTCCCTACTGTGATGCGGAGTTAAAAGTTGACGCTGCAAAAACAATGTCAAGGATGTTAAAAAAGGCTAAAAAAGACATTTAAATCATTATCTTTTTAAAATTTAACCAAGAAGTTCTCTTTTGCAGCAAACATGTCTCACTGCAGAAATACACAATGGTCTTGCCAGAAGGCTGTTTGACTTTTTTTTAAAGAAGTCTCCAGTATAGATAACTAACAAACACTTACCAAAAATAAATCTATTAAAATACTAATCAGGTCTTTAAAAAAAAACCTATATATATAATATGAAAGCTTGGGGATTGAGGAGAGAATAAGTAGAGTGATTGTATATTCTCCATTGTTTATTGTGAATTAATTAACTGAAGCCCTGAATTCTAATAGCCAAGACAAAATGTTTCCCTTTTTCATACTGTACCATATTACATTGTATTTTAGAAACATCTGTAATAAAACAAAGTGCTATTACAAGTTAAAGTAAATTGCAATTATAAGACTTACATATAGCTATTAAAGCAATGGCTCTTCTCAGCTATCTCCACCAAACAGAAAGTATCTGGTAAATAGTCAAACTGCTCATTGACTAAATACTGTAAACCAAACCAAATCAAAATGTTAATTGACTACTGCCTAGATACAAAAGTAACTTAGCAACTCTGCAATAAATCTAGTACAGATTAAATGACTAAAAATATACAATCTTATAACTCCTCTTAAACTCACTATAAAGCAACACAATCTGCTGAAGGCATTCTGAGATTCATAATTTAAAACCTCCTTTAAAAGAGGTTCATTCCAGTGGTCCTCATGTCAAAAAGAAGAGCAGTCCACAGTCCTGAGGCCAGAAGCAAACAGACTACTCTTCCTGAAAAAAACCAGACTCCAGCATTCCCTGTCCCCTCAGACCTCAGGGGGTGGGATAGCACACAAAGAGACTCTGAAAGGTATCTGGGACCATGCAATGTATCAAGGGCATTTAACTGATTCTACTGCTGTTATCAAGGACCCAAAAGAATTGCTTATGGTGAATTTGGCAATAACAATACTTTCCACTGCAGAGATTCTCAGGTGAAAGATACTAACAGTCAGAAATATTATCCCCATTTTACAGAGGGTGAAGTTAAGACATATATGATTCATTTGCCCAAGGTCATGCAGCAAAGTAACTGGGGAGACAAGGAGTTTCACAAAGAATCAAGCTCTTTTGCGGCTAGTATCCAACCTAATTCCCCAAAACCATACTGCCTTGGAAAGCTGTCATAATGCAGAATGAAAAATCCTGATGCAAACTGAATGCCACTAACAGGGCATTTGTGCTAACCTTTGTGCTTAGAACAGAAATATTTTAATGAACAATAGAGATTTCCTCCTGCTGGATGTTGGCCAGATACTGAGTCTCAAACCTTCCGAGAAGAATGTTTTATTTCGCCTGGTTCTTTTATTTGTTTCTTCTGAGATTATTGGGGGATTCTTTCAGTCAGGCATGCAGTGCAACAGTCAGGAGGTATATTTAGCAGCCATATATTAGCTAATGTAAGGACCCCCAGTACTTTCTTGGAGTTAGAGGCATAACGCCCCCTAACTACACATTATGCCTACGGCACATACAGGCTAGGACTTGGGTTTTGGAGCTGGGACAGCTTGTGGGAGAATGGCCCCTCACAGGGCAATGACTGCGAGAAGCAGTCTGAAGATTGCTACAAAAGAGCAATACCTTGAAAGCCCATTGTAACAGTGACATAAGTCTCCCCCAGTTGAGAAAGCCTCTAATGTCGTCCCACCCCGGCTCTGCTCTGCCGGTGCCCCGCTTTACCTGCGTGCGAGGACTGGGCTGAACAGGGGGAGGGAAGAAGAGGCCGCCTCGCTTCCCCACGTGGCCTCCTGGCACCCAAGAGCCGCTCGCCATTCCAGCCCCGAACCCCACCCCTTGGGATGGCTGAGGCGGAGCCTGGGAGGCTGCGGTGGGACCTAAGGTAAACACGGGGCCGAGCGGACCCAGTGACAACGCGCCCTTAATGACCTGGGCGCCTTGGCACAGGCAACGCGAGAGCGAGCAGCGGGCGAACCACTTTCGGTCCTATGTAGAAGACTTTAAAGTTTAAAGCATCTTCCTTTCCCACGCCAGGCAACAGGCAACACGGCAAACAAAGTCCAAATGTAGGCGGTTGTTTTGTTTGCCTGAAATATACTTTACCGGTGCAAAATCGCGCGTGCAAAGAGACTGCATAATAAGTCTAGCCAGTGCAACATCAAATGCCAGTTTAAAACATCCCGCTAGTGCAAGATTAAGCATACAAAGAAAGAGCCGCTGTGTGTGTGTATATATATTTTTTTTCTCTGAAGAGCAGATACACGATCAGATAGGAGCAAAAAGAGCTTATGTGAATTACATCCAGTTCAGATACAAAAAAGAGGCACTATAAAAGATATGTGGCTAGTGCAATATGATATACGAAGAAAACGCATATAAAAACTCAACAAAAACACCACTCTGCGTACGTTAAAAAACCTTATTTTGCTACTGCAAAATCATGTATTAAAAAAATGCCGTGGTTTTGTTCTAGCTGTGTGGGTTTTTTTTTTAGAATACACTCATTTGTATCCATGCTCATGCGCTAAAAGTGTGGGGTTTTTTTAGAATACACTCTTCATTTGTATCCATGCTCATGCGCTAAATTGTGTCTCTTATTATAGTTTAACTATCTACTTGATATATTGAACATATTTTGCTAGTGAAAAAGTCTGTAAAAGAGTTTGCAATAGGCATGCAGAGGCTGAAGTGGATGTGCAAGATCGTGCATGCAGTGGGAAAGCATGTGTAATTCATACTATTTTCCTGTTTTTAAAACTCCTCCAGAAGGCGAAAAAGTCGAGTTTCTCCCATAAAGCCATTGCATAACTAGATACTTTCTTTGGCAACAGCTTCCTGACAAATATTTATAAAGGAATTGCAGAACGCGTTTCCGCCTACGTGAATGAGTCTCAGTCATAACCACCTTCCCCAGACTCACTGCCACTTTTTTTTTTCAAGGAGTGGCGGAAAGCAGGGCACCGTGTGCCTCCAGCCGGGCACAGTGTGAGCGGGACGGGGAGGGGCCGTCGTTGTTGTGTTTTGCAAGCCGCTTTCGGAAACGATCATTTTTTGTTCCCTGTTGCAAATCAGAAAGTTTAATCAGCGGTGCGGGAAACGCAAAGGCGCAGAGGGCTTGTTATTAGCTCTGCGCTCCGCAGCAAGCCTCGGGGGAAACACGACGCCACTTTCGATAGCTAGGGGAGTGTAAAAATCCCCCAGCCCGGTCCGTAACTCCTAATTCGTTGGGGGGGGAGGGGTTGAGAGGAACCAGCAGCTGATCCCTTGCCAAGTGGTTACTGCCCCTTTAAGAACAACACGCTGGTGCTGTTCCCCCAGCAGCAACTTCTCTCCCAGGCAGGAAGGAACCAGCCTCGTCCCAACCTCCCGAAGAAGGTGTCTCCGCCGCCCCTCCCCATCCTGGCCTCATCACACCTCCCTCTCGGCTGGATCACTGCTCCCATCCTGCCTTGTTCTCCACAGCGCCCCCGCTCCCGCCTGTGTTCTCAGGCTCCCCCCCC